ACTTCTTCCTGGGGAGCCAGAATTTCAGGGCTCAAACTTTGGGAAAAGGCTACCTTGAGAACTCTCTGGAAGTCGAACCCTCAGCCAAACAGATGTCTCAGTTGCTGAACAAAGCTTTTATGGAATGAAGTTTCCACTAGAATACAGAGACAGCCCCCTGATCTCTGCAGGTTCAACACAAACCATTGGCTGCTTCATGATCACCCATGTTGAACCCTCTTACCCCAAGAGGAACCATCAAGCCCAGGGTTTAGAAAGCCCTGCAAAAATACTGAGATTCCAAAAGAACACAAAGGAAACAAGCAATGCCTCAGATACTATCTGTCTCTAAAGATGGCTACTTAAATTGCAAAAAGATTTGCCCTACAGCTCCCTGAAACAGCAAGATTTTAGGGCAGCTCCCTTATATTATATGTCTAATATCCACTTATAAGTGAGTGCACAGCATGTTTGTCTCCAAGAGCACTGCAAGAACACCTGTTCCAAAGCCCCATGAAGTGAGCTGAAGGCAGAATGGCACCTTCAGTTTGCTTGGCATCCTCAGAGATGCCAACATGCCTTGGCTTGTTGCATCAGGAAGACTACGGAATAGAGTGGAGGAGGAGCCCCAGAGATGCACATATAAGATTGGATGCTCTTTCCCACCTGGAATTTATTCAACCAAAAAGTCACACTCAAGGAAAGACCACCTCTTCGTTATTTGGGGCCTGGCATTGGTCTGGGACCAGTACAGTTCCCAGTTCGTCTATATCTTTCCTTCAGCCTTCTCTCCATGTAACTGTCCATGATAACTGTTGAGAGGCATGAGAATTTAGAAGTTCCTGTGGCTGCCCTCCAACTCAAATCTACTCCTATAACAATATATCAAGCTCTGGGTGAGCTGACCATGGGGAGACCTCTTTGGAAGGAGCAGCAGTTGGCTTTCTCAGAACCTTTGAAAGGAACACAGTGCATGAAACTGACAGTTCCCAGAAGTAGGTTCTGACACCCTCAGAGAGGGAGCATGGAACTCGTCCTAATCCTGAGCCCTGCCTCTCAGTGAACAAACCCATCCTTATGCATACTACAAATCCTTCCTCCTTAGCCCTTGCCCTAGCCCTATGAGTCAATTGAACTCATTCTTATTGTGAAGGTCACAGGTGCTTTGCTACTTTGTTAGGGAGTGTCTATGTAGCTATGCTTAAAGCCCTGTTGTGATAATTGTCACTTGGAAACCTTTCCCCAAAGTTTACTACACTTAAATGTGTAAGAAGAATAAACCACAAGGCCAGACTCTGGAAGTTTTGACTTGGTGCCTACAAAGATGGTTTCATTCTTCACTTTGTGCAAATTGTCTCCCTGCTGGCTGTGAAATGCCCTGACACTTCCCCTCCAGAAACCTGATAGGAAAAGAAATGATAGGAAAAGAAAGACAGGGAATGGAAAGTGAGTCATTGGTAAGTAAGGGTTATCAATGAATTTTTGGAAGATGGAAAGCTATTGAAGAGAAGTAACTAAAAAATAAACAAATAAATAAGAAAGAGAGAACTTCTGCCTAACCTGCAACAAAGGGGAACCTTTCTCCACACAATCCCAGAGAAGCCTCCAATCCCTGAGACACTGATGGGTAAGTGGCAGCACCCAGGGATTCATTCTTGGTTCATTCTCCCCCACATCTCTGCCCAGAGAAGGCCAGAAAACTGCACCCTCTTGACAATGAGTCTGCTTCTAGGGAAACTCAATGATCTCAGCACAGAGTTCTATGCACCAGAACAGAGAAGGCCCCGTAGAGACACCCCCAGGATGATCTTCAGCAACCAAGCAGTCTGTAAGCCTCATCCACTCACTCAGTGTTTACTACCATATTCAGAAATACAGACAGACAAAAAAAAAAAAAAAAAGGATCACGAGGTATTCAAAGAAAGCCTCCCAGTAAAAATAGGAGATTAATGAAGAAAAAAATATAATCAAGGAGGAAACAAAGAATATGAGAAATAGAATAATTCAAGATGGCTGTCACAAAAATGTGTGAAAGGCTGTCTGTTCTGGCAATTAGAAAAGGGCTTATAGAAAGAATAGAATGTAAATGATGGTGAAAATCAAAAATATGAACACTAAATCTTAAAAATACAAAAATATGGATTACAAAATAAAGTTAAGATACTATCCCAAGGCTGGAGAGATGGCTCAGCTGTTAAGAGCACTGGCTGCTCTTTCAGAGGACTTGATTTTGATTCCCAGCACCCATAGAATGACTCAAACCATCTTTAATTCCAGTTTCAGGGGATCCAATGCCCGGGATAAAAGGCATGTATATATCTATGGTCCACACATACATGCAGGCAAAATACTTATATATAAAATAACATAAATCTTTAAAAATTTAAAGATATTCTCTCAGACTGTGAAACTAAAAATAAAGACATAGGTCAGTGGGTAGAGGCACTTGCTGCCAAGCTTGGCAACCTGAGTTTGATCTCCCAGAACCCTTCTCGTGGAAGAACTAACTCCCACAAGATGTCTTCTGACCTTCACATGTGTGCCATGGCATTTGAGTGCAGACACACATGAGCACACATATACATACAAATTAACCAATCAATAAACAGACAAATGTAACCTAAAATTTTAAATAAAATAAATAAGTAAAATGAAGACATATGTACAAGAAGCAAAGAGAGGGGCTGGAGCGATGGCTTCACGGTTAAGAGCACCATCTGCTCTCCCAGAGGTCCTGGGTTTGATTTTGGCACTCCCATAGCGCTTCACAGCCGCCTGCAGCCCCTTCTCCAGGAGATCTGACCCCCTCTTCTGGCGTCCTTTGGCAACAAGCACACATGCGGTGCACAGACTACACGCCGGCAAAAACACCCCGGGCAAAAACACCCCTACACATAAAAAAAATTTTTTTTAGAGAATAAACAAAAACACATGAGGCTATGTGTCCAGCTAGTGTCTCATCTAATAAACTGGAGTTTCAAGAACTTGTCAGACAAATAGCATAGTCCTCATGCAAGTCTATGGCAGAGACGACCCAGTGGCTAGGAGCCTGTACTACCTTTCCAGAGGACCAGCACCCAGGAGCTCACAACAGCCTGTATCTCCAGCCAAAGGGTTTGACACCTCTGGCCTCCATGGACACCAGTATGCCTATTTACATGCCTAACACACACACACACACACACACACACACACACACACACACACACACACACATTTTGATTGCATTGCACCCTTGCTGGAGGGTTCTGTAGCGTGCAAAGACGTAGAAATGTGCATGATTTAGTTTCCTTTCCTCATTGCACCCTCCCTAGGGAGGCTGCTTGAAATCCAGGCAAAGTAGGGAAAATAACAGTTTCAACACAGGCACAAAGCTGAAACAGGGGAATGAAGAATTCCCCCGACGGAGGACTCCAAGGGAGTGAAATAGGTAGCCAGGGGTGGCAGTGCCTGCCTGCAATCCTTGCACGTGGGAGGTGAGGCAGGAATATGAACAGATCAAGCTTGAAGCCACGTCTCAAAATCCAGAGGCCCATCCCTACCCTCCCCCCAACAGAGTTCTTTGTTTTGTTGTTAGGGGGTTGGGGGAGTGATTTGCACATGCTAGGCAATCTTTCTGCCTTGGAGCTACACTCCCAGTCCTAGAGATAAGTAAGAAATTTTAAGAGCTTGGGGCCAACAATCAGACGAACTAGATTTAACTCCTGCCTTTCTCTCTCCCAATTATTAGCCAGAACTGTGGCCAAGGGTTACTGAACTTCTGCACTTCTTTCGTGCTCTGTAATAAGGAAAAATACGTGTATTTCATGGAGTTGGCAGAAGGTTACAGAAGAATGCTGAACCTTACCAGGCTTATCAGTGATTGACACAAGTGAAGTGCTCAGTGGCTAGCCTGACGGTGGTAGGTTCGGCAAACAAGGAGCAGACAGAAATAGAAACCCTCCAGGAAGACAGTCTTACAAGAAAGAATGATATTAAAGTACAGTCGTTGATTTCGCGATGAATATTTACAGCCCTAATGAAGTAAATGCTGTATTATGTAAAAGCAGCATTGCGTTTAGGACCAGCTTGAAAGCCTGGGAAAGTCTCACCTATTTATCTAAGAGGAAGCCCAGGGATGGCGCTAACAACAAACAGACTCAGGCAAATAAAAGAATCACTGAAAGAGTTCCGCAGTCATCTGTGGGAAAAGAGGTCTGTTATTGGGAACTCAAGGCACACATCTGAGAAGCAGAACACAGGGCACCCGTATTTTCTTGTACATTTATAACAATAGTGCATATGGCAGAGAAGGGTCCTAATTCTAATCAGTTCAAAAATTAAGAGATTTTTTTTCCCAAGAGAAAGAAGCAGATGCCCAGAGAATGCACCTCACCAAAGCCGCAGGGACAGCTGCGTGGTTGGAGACCACGTCACCTGTGTGCCAGCATCATTTTTCTCCCGCACAGGAGGCTTGATACAATGTGGCGACCATGAACATCAGCCCAACACCTGTGCAGTGCCAGCCCACAGCTAGTATTTTTAAATTGTAGAGATTAAAACTGCCCCTCCACCTCCTGCCTGAGGCTGTCAGCCCAAGAACGCAGCAGCGGCTGTACAGGCAGAGAGGCTATTTCCTCAGTCTCCAATCAGTCTACCCCACACCCGCCTGTGCCCTTCATACCCACCATGACATGGCACATGCTTAGAAGGTACATGCATGTTCTCCGTGGAGCTAAGCTTAGTGGAGAAAGGAAAGCAAATGAAAAGCAGTCTCAGAAAGCCACACAGCCCAATGCACACTTGAGGGTTAGTTGACCACTGACATTGCCTGTCCTTTACACCCTGCTAGTAGCGAGGAAGGCACAAGATGGCTAGCCACAGACTATACCTATCAATCTAAGCTTCTGTTGACTGCATTTCTTTGTCCAAGAGGGCAGAGACCTCAGGAACAATTGTCATTGTCTCCTTCGGTCCTACGACCTTACCAATTATTCCTCAGGCTCTAACTTCAAAGCATAATGGCTTGATGCCACCCTTACCGCAAATATCTGGGTGTAATGTGATGCCCGATGCTGGCCTCTGGCGCTGGGCCTGCACAGTGCTGGGACAGGGCACAGAGTTCCCATCCTGTGGCCGCAGTGGCCAAGTCCTGTTTACTTTGCCTGGAGATGGATGTTGCCCAACTATGTGGAGGCCTGGGAATGAGGTGGGCTGGCTGGCTGGCTCTTCTCTGGAAGAGCTCAGGCTTAGCGATAAGCCTGGTATTTCCGCTTATCTTTGACCCTGCCCAGGCCCCAGAAGCATCCAGAGGCTTCACTTGGTTATCTGCTTTCCTGAGCTGTATCTGCCTTCCCTACTTCCTGCATCACTTAGCAGATTGTCTAATTGTGAAACAAACAGCATGTAGTCCAAAGAGTGAGGAGAGAAGGAGGGGAGTCCTGGGGCTGGGCTGGGCTGACTTGAAACACTCAATTCAGAATCTGGTGCAAGCCTAGATGAACTGGGAATCCTCCTCTTCAGCCTTTCGGGTCAGAGAAGGTCTCAACCAGTGCCAGAATGGGTCAGAGGCCCTAATTTTCTTCCACAAGGCTGCTCACATCCTGGCTGGGTGCCTCATTGATCACCTCTGGGCTAGAAGGAGCCAGCAATTACCTTTCCAAATAAAAGGACTCAGGAGGCCATAACCAAGTATAGATTCTGTAAGAACTCAGGCACTGGGAGAAAGCAGTGCCTCAAGACTTTTAGAGTGCCTGTAGGAAGGCAAGAGAAACTTCAGATGGTGCGGAGGGAAAGGGGTTTCTGTAGATCACACAGCAGGTAACTGGCAGAGACTAAACTGATGCCCTTAGAGAGATCACAGACTTGGTCTGTGGGCTGAGAGGGGCAGCTAGACGCATCAGATGGGCCTGTGGGACACAGCCTGAGCTCTAACAGTCTGACAGTCATCTGTGGATATAAGGGAGAGGACTCACAGATATCAAGATTGGTTGCTAATTCTTTCACAGAAAAAAAAGGGGGTCTACAACTTGACACATCTTAGCAGCCCCAGAAAGAGAATTGAAGCTCTCGCAAAGCCTGACAGGATGAATCTGCAAACAGTATCCAAACAAGCTGGCCCCTCTGAATAAGCTGAGTGGGAGGAACAGCTGTGCTGACACCTTACCTGGGTGTGAGGTCCCCTCCAGCCCTTTAGTGGTCAGTGGATTTGCCTCTAGTCTTCTGCATTCAGCCATCTTATCTGTGATTGAAACCCTTTTATTTCTTTTCTTCCTTCCCTGCATCCCTAGTTAAATAATCCCTTGCCCCAGCAAGGCCAGATGGAGTTAGCCTGCGACACTGGAAGAAAACAAAAAGGACCACCAGGAACCAAATCCAAACGAGTAGTAATACGTTTACTTATTCATTATTTACTGAAAAGCAAACACATTTAACTGGCTGGCAGACACTAGCACTTTTATGTGCCAGGCATTGGTACATCTCTATACAAATTACTTTATTTGCCCCTCCCAACAAGTCTAGGAGGAAGGAGCGTTATCCTCATTTTTTAAACACAAACTTAGGCTTGTAAGAATTAAGGACATTTCTAAAGTACACAGAAAAACTTAAATTTATACTTAGGCAATTATATTCTGGTCATCTAAAACTTCCCGCTGTCCATCGAGAAGCTGCATTTGTCTCTAGGGGGCTGTATTTACCAACTGCCAATCCCAAAATCCCACATAAATCTACACGTTAGAACTGGGCCAACCAGTTCCGTGGTGACAATTGCCTGTCTACCCCCTGCCTGCTCACACCATCAGTGCAGCATGTTTTCACATGCACCTCCATTGTAGCACGCTTTCAGATGTGCCTCACAGTTGCCGCTCAGCTGAGGAGGAAGATCAGGACCTTGACTCTTGAATTGATGGAGGTTCACAGTGAGTCAGGGGAGCTGGCCTCTCCACCCCTGAAGCCGATATTCACTGTAGAGGGAAGACTTTCTGTAGACCTCTACCCCAATACACACATTGCTTGAAGGCCTCATCTGCTAGGGCTAATTCTAATCAGATTAAGACCTGTAGACCTTTGATATTAGATTATTTTAATTGGAATCTTATTTAAGCTCCTTGACTGTATTTACTTGTGAGCTCAAGCGCTCTCTCTACTTGTACAAGAAAACCTCCAAAGTCCAGATGGGAGTAAGGATGTCGCAGCAGGACGACAGATAAAGTGTGACGAGACCCTGACCAAAGGCAGCTAGAGGAAGAGAGAGTAGGTTTCCGCATACAGGCTATAATGCATTATTGAGGGAAACCAAGACAGGAGCATGAAGCAGAAACCACAGAGGAAGGCTGCTTAGTGCTCAATTTCCTCTGCGTAGCCCAGACCCACCTGCCCCAGTACTGGGCTGGGCCCTCCTATGTCAGTTAGCAATCGAGAAAATGCTCCACAGGCCAATCTGATGGAGGTACTGTCTTGGTTAAAGTACCCTCTTCCAGGTGTGTCAAGCTGACAACCAAGGGGGGTTAGCCATCGCAACTTGGCACACAAACACATCGCTGTTAAATCGTAACTTCCGTGTCCCCAATCTCTCATATCAATATCACAGTATAAAACACAGGACAGTTTCAAAAGTCACTCAGTCTTTAAAAACCTCAACACATTAAAAATTGAATGTCTCTTTTAAAAAAACGCAAATTCTCCTAACTGTGGGTTTCTGTAAAATCCAAAATAAGTTATACACTTTTTATCCCTAGATGGCAGAACCAGAGCACAGTTACAATCAAATTAAAAATAAAGCAGAACCAAAATCTAACAGTGTAAAAAGCTGTGTGCAATGTCGGGACCCATGATCCTCTGGGATCCAGAGGACTTGGACGGTCCCACATATCTGCAATCAGCAATCCACACGTCATGCCTTATAGGCTCAGGCAGATGTCCCTGCCTCTTTCATTTGGGTGTCTCCTCTGCAACTGAGGCAGCACTTTCAATAATGGCCTCCTGGCCCTCTGCAGGACGCCATGCTGCCACATGGTGCCAAGTCCCAGCTGCTCTCCATGACCCCTTCTTGCCTCCTGAACCAGTGCCATACAGGAGGGAGACTAACAGATTACCAAGCTACTTGCTTGAAATGGAGCCCTGGCCTCCCCTGGACCACAGCGTCTGTGTGCCGAGCATGAGGAAACACTTCCCAGAAAATTTCACCTCAGTGAGCCTGGTCTCCTACTATCATGGCTGGTGTTTCAGGCCCAGGTAACTGGCCTCGATTGTTTGGGTTTTCCTTCAGTGGTGCTGCCCTCTTGTTAATCGCCCCTAATTCTTCAGCCTCACAGGATCAAACAGTACAGATTCTTAATTCAAAACATCACATAGATGACCCTGATAGAACCTTGAAGAAATTTTCAAACTTCATTCTGAGACTCCATAAGCCAGCCCTCCATAATCTACATTGCCCTCAGCGCCATATCCCAAGTTCCCACAACAGCTCATTAGGTTCTGGCTTCTCCAACCCAAATCTTCAAACATTTCCACAGTCCTCCCCCACAACAACGGGTCCATTATAGCAATACCCAACTCTAGGTGTCAATCCTAGTCTTGTTTATGCTGTTATGATGAACAGAATGACCAAACCAAATTTTGGGGGGTTAAAGGGTTTATTTCAGCTTCCAGCTTACAGTCATCACTGAAGAAAAACAAGGCAAGAGCTCAGGGTAGGAACTTGAAGAACACTTCATGCTGGCTTGCTCTCACGGCTTGCTCAGTCACTTTGCTTATATAGCTGTAGTCCACCTCCCCAGAGGTGACATCACTCACAGTGAACTGGGCCCTACTGCATTAATTAGCAGTCAATAAACTGCTCCCACAGAAATGCCAACAAGCCAATCTTGATGGAGGTAAGTTCTTAGCTGAAGCTCCTCTGTCAGGTGTGTGAGGCTGACAACCAAAATTAGCTATCACAACCACTCACATATGCAAAGGACATGAGTGTGATGGGGTAAATGTGGGTCTCCTCCTCCCTGGAGGAGCTGTTGGCCACCAGCCCACGAGGGCAAAAGGAGCAGAAGCAGGGTGCGGGGCTCAGAAGTCTGTGAGCACAGTGGAACAGCCTCCAGACACCACTTCAGCGAGATAGCTCACCTTTATTTGGGGTGAACAAAGACTTTATAGTCCTTGGGAAGTTGGTGGGAGGCTCCCAGGATAGGTGAACATAATTGGTTGAAACTAGGAATTCCAAGGATTAGTGATTTGCGTCTGGCAGCAGGTTCCTATCATATGAACAGGAACACAGTACCTAACTATCCTATAGGCGAAGGGACGGGAGAGCTAGTAGGGAACTGTGCCAAAGGCCATATATCAGTTATGGTGAGAGGCATTCATGCCTAAAGACACTCTCCAGAGGAGGTGAGGCAGAGAGCAGGAGGCCTTGCTCGGGGGAGGGAGTCCTCCATCTATGCGGAGCTCAGAAAGGCTGTCCTGACTGGGAGGACTGAAACCTCTACAGCAGGGTCCTCCAACAGGTGAAACTGTACAAAATAAGTATTTCTAGCCTGCCTGTGTCTGATAAAAGGAATTTCATTTTTGTCTGTTTACAGACTTTCCTCTTTACCTAGACCTGTGTGTGTGTGTGTGTGACAGAGAGAAAGAGATCTGAGGGAACTGAAGGTCTTTAGAAGAGGCTCCTGGCTCATCCTGGTGAGTCTTAAGAACAGGAAAAGAAGACGAGGAGCTGAAGACACGAAGCAGGTGTGGGGTTTGAGGACCGACAGACCCTCAGAAAGCCCTGTCCTGTGAGGACAATGAGGACAGGGTTCAGAAAGCATCTGTAGTGGGACACAAAGGGTCATCCAGAGTCATGAGAAGGAATGGCCTGGCAGTTGGCTGGGCTCCCACAACTTTTCCGGAAACGTAGCTACGGAGTGCCATTGTGAAAGAGTAGGCAAAGAGTTTGAAGGGAGTTTCTGGAGAAAGCAAGGTTTAAGCCGAGCCTTGAAGGATGATATAAGAGGCCAAGGAGAGACAATTCTAATGGAGACAGGGCTAACAAAACTCCAGGAAGAGCTGCCAACATTGGATGTCTATTTAGGACCTGTCTGCGGGTCAAGGTGCCAGCGAAAGCTCCATAGATACCACAGGATGAGTTGAAACATTAGGAGAAATATCTAGACTGAAAGCATTGAG